TGGTGGCAACGGGGAAGGGGATGGTGTGTGTCTGAGTGAAACTTCCAGGAAACAGAAAAGAGAGACAGGAAGGCACTGTGGTCCCCCAAAGACCTAAGGAAGTCCCACAAAGCCTCTTGTCTCCAAGGGTCTATCATCTCCCAGAAGCCCCACCCTGGAGACCAAACATCGGAAGGGGGCATTCAACCTCCAAGACATAGCAAGGCATAATTGGGTGTGGTGTGATAGAGGCACCAGCTCTGGGTCTTGGGATTCCCTTGGTTCATCTTTCTGCCTCGCTGGACAACATCCAGAGGAAGAGAGAAGGCCTCTTCTGGCAGCTACTTCTTCAGCACCACGAGGTAATGTTTCCAGAAACATCCAGCGAACGTCTCCTCATATCTCATGGACTCAAAACTGGTTGGCAATCCTTTGTAAAACCACTCTATGTCCAGGGAAATGCCACGCGTGATTCGTTCAGGCTGAGTGCTGAGCCAGTCCATGGCAAGAAGATACAAATATCCTTGGGCCAATCAGTCCAACCCCTGGCACTGGGAACCAGGCTGAGTGAGGAGATGGGACCTTCAGTACAAGCTGGGATACTCCTCAGAAGGAAGAAGTGTGTTCTGGGTAGGAAACCCCTGAAAAGCACTCTGCCTGGTTCTGTGTCTGACCTGAGGTGTCTCCGTCATTTCAAATTCTGTTGGAAATTCCCCCTGACTGCAAAGCTGAGGTTCCAGAACTCCCTTTAGGTCTTTGCAGTTTTCTCAGCTATTTCATCACACTGGCAGCCTAGAGGCTTTTCAGACACATAAACACATTGGGCCTCACATCGCAGAAATCTATCATTGATTTCTAATTTCATTCCATTATGATCTAAGGCAGAGTAGTATCTCTATTTTTTTTTATATTTGCTAAGAGTTGCTTTATGGCATAGTATATGGTCTATTTTAGAGAAGGAATCCACCTGCTGCTGAGAAGAAAGTATATTCTCTCATTGAAGGTTGGAATATTCTATATATGTGAGTTAAGTCTAAATTATTGATTGTATTATTGACTTCTGTAGTTTCTTTGTTCAGCTTTTGTTTGAAAGATCTATCTAGTGATGAAAGAGGTATGTTAAAGTCACCCAAAATTATTGCATTGTGGTCTATTTGACTCTTGAACTTAAGAAGAGTTTGTTTGATGAATGTAGAGTCTCCATTGTTTGAGGCATATATATTTATAATTGTTAAGTCTTGTTGGTGTATGGTTTTCTTTAACAGTATGTGGTGTCCTTCTTTATTCCTTTTGATTGACTTTAGCTTGAAGTCTACTTTATTTGATATAAGGATGGAAACCCCTTCTTGTTTCTGCAGTCCATGTGACTGGTATGATTTTCCCAACCCTTCACCTTCAGTCTTTTTCTGAGACAAGGCTCTTGGACACAAGAGCATATTGTTGGGTCTTTTTTTTTTTTTTTTTTTTTTTATCCAATCTGCCAGTCTATGTCTTTTGATTGTTGAATTTAGGCCAGTAACATTCAGGGTTATTATTGAGACATGATTTGTATTCCCAGCCATTTTTGTTTATTTTTGGTATTTAATGTGACTTGTGGTTTCTCCTCTGATTAGATTTTCCTTTACTGTAATCCCTCCCTCTGCTAATTTTCATCATTGTTTTTAATTTCCTCTTCTTGGAATATTTTGCTGAGGATGTTCTGTAGTGCAGGTTTTCTAGTTGTAAATTCTTTTAACTTTTGTGTATCATGGAAGGTTTTTATTTTATCATCAAATCTAAAGCTTAGGTTGCTGGATATAAGATTCTTGGTTGGCATCCATTTTCTTTCAGAGCTTGGTATATGTTGTACAATCTCCTGGCTTTGAGGGTCTGGGTTGAAAAATCTGAGATACGGGTTGGTCTCCCCCTATCTGTGATCTGATTCCCCTCTCTTGCAGCTTTTAAGATTCTATCCTTATTCTGTATGCTAGGCATTTTTATTATAATATGCCTTGGTGTAGAACTGTTGTAATTTTGTACATTTGGTGTCCTGTAACCTCTTCTATTTGGTTTTCCAATTTGTTCTTCATGATTGGGAAATTTTCTGATATTATCTCATTGTAGAGATTGTGCATTCCTTTGGCTTGAAACTCTGTGCCTTCCTTTATCCCAATGACTCTTAGATTTGGCCTTTTGATGCTGTCCCATAATTCTTAGATATTCTATTCATGGTTTCTAACTTTCTTCACTGTGTGATCAATTTTATTTTCCAGATTGTATACTTTGTCTTCATTATCTGATGTTTATTCCAAGTGATCTAGTCTATTGGTTATGCATTCTATTGAGTTTTTTGATTTATTGTATCCTTCATTGGAAGGATTTCTGTCTTTTTTTTTTCCCCCAGAGTCAGTCTCTCTCTCTCTCTCTCGGACTAATCTTTTGCTACTTGTATTTGCTCTTATCTCATTGTTGGAAGGATCAATTTTTGCTTGTATTTGCTCATTTAGGTCATTCTTTAATTCAGAGATTATTTTACTTATTTACTTTTTGAGAGAGAGAGAGAGAGAGAGAGAGAATTTTAATATTTATTTTTTATTTTTCGGCAGACACAACATCTTTCTTTGTATGTGGTGCTGAGGATCAAATCCGGGCTGCACGCATGCCAGGCGAGCGCGCTACCGCTTGAGCCACATCCCCAGCCCAAGATTATTTTAATTATGAATCTCTGAACTGCTTCTCTGACATTTCATCAACTTCACTGATATTATGGGTTCTGATATTACAGTGTCCTGGTTTGTTTGGGGGCCCTTTCCTCGTTTTTTTTTTTATGTTGTCTATGTGTCTGCCTTTCTTGCAGTGTGGATCCGAGATGTTACAGTTTCTTTCCTATATTTTTGTGGTACCTGTGCAGAATGTCTTCACCTCACCTTGATGTTGGACTTCCAGACCCTGCTGGTGTCCCTCAATAAATGCTACTACATCCTGGATCTGGGTCCTGCTTAAGTTGGAATGGGTGGGTCTGGGCCGCTGGGCTTGACCTCCTGTGGTAGTCTGCTGGTTGGAAGGGGAAGTCCTGCACCAAAGGCTAGACTTTGGTGGTGTCTGACCCGCTTGTGGAGGAGTGAATCAGGACCACTGAGAGCAGGGATCCCGGGTAGGTTGGAGTGGGTGGATCTGGGCAGCTGGGATTACAGGTGGCTTATAGTACACTTTAATGTTCTAATATGTAAAAATATATCACAACTTGAAAAGTTTAGTAATTATCTGTGTATAATTGGTTTTCTTTGGAATCATATGTATATATATCTATATTGTCTTTAAAAGCATTCTGAAAATCAGGATAGCTTCCGCAGACGGCTAAAGAGATCCATGTCAGTGCTCCTGTCAGTGGTCAGGAGCTGGGATTAACTACGTGATAAGCAGGAGTTGGTGGGTCGGGGCAGAGCTCAGTGGTAGAGCACTTGCCTAGCATGTGTGAGGCACTGGGTTTGATTCTTAGCACCACATATAAATATGTAAAATAAAGGTCCATTGACAACTTAAAAAAGAACTGCTGTTGCTAAGTACTTGTCCATCTGCTCTTTTTTTAATTTTTTAACATTTATTCTGATTTGTTATACATGATGGCAGAATGCAATTCATTTTATATTATGCATGTAGAACAATTTTTCAAGACACTGGTTATACACAAAGTATTTTCACACCATTCATGTCTTATATATGTACTTAGGGTAATGATGTCTAACTCATTCCACCATCATTCCTATCCCTCTTGCTCCCTCCTCTCTTTGCCCCTCCCTCCCCTTATATCCATCTGCTTTTGTCATGTGTCTACAACAAAATAGTCCTGAATGGCAATCATATTAGCTTCTGGTTCTTACCCACAACTCTCCCCCTTCCACTAGCTGTTTTAGGATACTTTTGCTAGGTTTAGAAATCCTCATACTGAAGCCCAGCTGCTAATATTGAAACTTCCAAGAATGTATAATTCGTTACCATGCTTATTTGTGTTGATCTAAATCATAGGACATCAAAATCCTCCAGACATCAGCAACAAATACAATTGCTGTTTTAGTGAGTTGCCATGTTATTGGGGAACACTCTAGATAAAGAAACAACATCCGTGACAGCTTCCCAGTCTGAATTGTGTTGGACAGCAGGAATTCTGTTTGATTCTGCTGAAATCTATTTAATAAATTTAGATTATTTGAGCTAAATGATTTTTGTGTCATAGTGGACCACAGATTGTAAAGACATACCGTTAGATACATGTAACACCAAATGTAATTGAATAAATATGGCTTTTAAGAAATATTATACTTAGATATAAGTTGATGGAAAGGCAGAGGGAAAACCTTCATAAAAAACCCTAATATCCAATTATATGAGGACAACTTTCTGTTTGAATCCTAAGGTCTTGCATATTTAAGATAAGTAATTTATGAGGATATGCACCAGGAACTATATGGCTCAGTTAAAAATGAAGAAGTTTCAAATACAGTGTGGTGAAAATGGTGAAGTCATTTTTATTTTCAGTGCTTTGACAAAATACCCCATAAAATTCAAAACTTCTACCATTATACAAAAATAGGTGTCTACAAGTGATATCTTCTGTCTTCATCACCAGTAGCAAATATATTAGGCAGAAACATGTAATTTCAGTAGCCTTAAATGAAAAGTGCAGGACACTGCAAGCTACACATTCAGCAGTATCATATTGGCAAAAGTTTAATCTTTTCACCCATTTGATAAATACACAAGGTTTATAATTTAATCATTTAAATTAACATTCTGCAAATATACATGTAATTTAGTGATCACTGTGCATGAATACATACACAATGCTTGTATGTACAAATTCCAGTTTGTTTTCATGTGCAAGAGATCTGATACAATCATAAGCTGTGTTTGTTTTGGTCCCATTAAATATTCACAATATAAAAGCACAAAAGAATCTTCGATTTACAAAAGAGAATTTGTTTAAAATCACTTCAACTTTTGATGTTTTTAAAGTATTATCTTCTCA